CCCCAGGCCCCTGCGGAACTAACTCCTGGGTCCACACTCAGATCACCCAGCTCAGCTTGACTCAAACGAGAGTGCAAGCCGCAGGCCGCAGGAAGGACCGCAGCCCCACTCCGCCAAGAATGAAAAACCTGTAAGTGAGAAAACATGCCTTGTTGACTCGACTGCGGGGAAGTGGACATGGCGGTGCCGAGGTCGTGCGACCCCTTTCGCAACACCTGTGGAAAGCAGTCTCCTAGACCACTTCCGATCTCCCTTTTCCCCGCAGCTTTCTCTACTTGAGGCGAGGCCGTGTCCCTCCACGTTCTTTTTCGACTTGTCTCCAGAGACTGTACCCTGGCTCCATTCCAGAGCGGGCTTCTGAGAGCCGGGGAACCGGGGTAGTCAGCGCTGGTCCTCCGCGTGGCCCGGGTGCGCAAGGTGGGGCGTGGCACTGACCGCCCAGGCGAGGCCAAGCTCCACCCACGGCTCTTGCTGAATCCTTCAACTTTTGATTATGCGGTTTAGCTTCCCGATTACTTTTGATTAATTGGTAGCTTCCTATTTGTGATTTAGTCTCTAGCAATTATTTAGAAGTATATTTATTTTCCAAAATAAGGGAGAGATCTAGGTTTCTTATTACTCATTTCTATCTTAATTGGTTGCGTTGTGGATATAGGATATATACAATGTGATATCATGTATATTTATTTCTTTTTAAAGTAAGTTTTATACCCACTGGGAGGCTTGAACTCACCACCCAGAGATCGAGTCACTTGCTCTACTAACTGAACTAGCCAAGGGCCTGAGTCATAGAATATATTCTTTAAGAATTAAAGCCTCTGAAATTATAAATAGCTCAATGTATGGTCATTTTGTAAATGCATTTTGTATATGTGGGGGAAAATATGTATTCTGTACTGGTTGTATGCATTGTACTAAAATTTCTAATCACATTAATCTTCTATATTATTTTTTTAATTCTGTTATTTTTTGTATGTTTGAACTATTGGTTGATAGATTTTTCGATGTTGTCAATTTGTATATATTTTGAGGCTACATTAATAAATGCATAAAGCATAGATTTCTTATATCTTCCTTGTGAACTGAACCTGAATTGAATACTTAGGAAGTGTTCATCTTTATTGTAAGTATTGCTTTTCATTTTAGACTACATGTGGTCTAATATTAATGTAATATCACCTTGTTTTGATTTCGTGTGTACAAGTAACATCTTTTTCTATTAGTTTCATACTCTGTTATCCTTATGTTTTAATGCCTTTTTTATTTTATTATTATTTTTTAAATTTTTTTTTATTTATTTCTAGGAGAGAGAGAGAGACAGCGTGAGCAGGGGAGGGTCAGAGAGAGAGGGAGTCACAGACTCTGAAATAGGCTCCAGGCTCTGAGCTGGCAGTCAGCACAGAGCCCGACGCGGGGCTCGAACCCACGAACCGCAAGATCATGACCTAAGCGAAAGTCGGACGCTTAACCGACTAAGCCACCCAGGCGCCCCTATTTATTATTTTTTAATGTCTCTCTTGAATGCATACATTTGATGGGGTGCCTGGCTGTTCAGTCAGTTAAGCGTCCAACTCTTAATTTCAGCTCAGGTCATGATCTCTCAGTTTGTGAGATACAGTCCTGTGGCAGGCTCTGTGGTGAGCCTACTTGGGGTTCTCTCTCTCAAAAATCAGTAAACACATACATTTGAGATATTTGTAATCCAGTCAAATAAGCTCTACAGATGCATAGGAATATTTACTCTATTTACTTTTAATATAATTACTGATCTATTTGGATTTAAATCTACCTTTTTAATAAGGTTTCCCTTTTTGTTCTGCCTGTTCTTTGTTGTGCTTCTTCCTTTTCTTTTTGGTTGCTTTATTTTATTCCTACTAATAATAAATAAATATATTAATGAGTTAATAGATTATATTAATTATAAAGATAAATAATAACATTAGTGTTATTATTATATTCTATTATGCCAGTTATTTTCCCTCTATTTGGAAACTGTACGCTTGTTTCATATTCTTTTAGTAACTGACCTTGAAATTCCAATGCTACTACTTGACTAAATGAAGACTGCTATTAATTGGGACTTTTACCTTTTTTTTTTTTTTTTGAGTAATGTCTGCACCCAACATGGGGCTTGAACTCACGACCCCCTGAGATCAAGAGCACCCTCTAGAGACTGAGCCAGCCAGAGGCCCCAGCACTTTTTACCTTTTGTCCCCCCAAAATTTTTTAATTCTTTTCCTTTATCACTATGGTTACGACCCTCTCAACTTACGTACTTTTTCTTTTTCCAATTCTCTTGGACATAGATTCCTAACAGTGGAACTGCTGGTTCATAAGCATTTTGAACTACCAAACTGTTTTTCAAAGCAGCTGCACCTTTTTACAATCCCAACAGCAGTGCATGGGGGCTCCAGTTTCTCCATATCCTTACCAACACTTGCTGTTGTCTGTCTTTTTTATTCTACTCATCCTTGCAGGTGTGAAGTGGTATTTCATTGTGGCCTGAATGTGCATTTCCCTAATGGCCTTGTTGAGCATCTTTTCCCGTGCTTACTGGCCATGTGTATACCTTCTCTGGAGAAATGTCCATTCAAATCCTTTGCCCTTTTTTAAATTGGCTTAGTTGCCTTTTTATGGTTGAGTTATAAGACTTCTTTATATATTTTGGATATGGACATAATTCCCTACCAGAAATTGGATTTGCTAATGTTTTCTCCCCTGCTATGTGTTGCCTGCCTTCTTTCCTGTCTCCCTTGAAGAACTTTTTATTTTGATGAACTTTATATTTGAAGAAACAAACATTGTAGAGAGTTGAAGCTCCTGTCTATGACCTAATTTCTCTGCCTCCCTCCCCAGAGATGACCACTATTCTAAACTTGATCTTTATAATTCTCCAGTTTTGTTTTTTAATTATGTAAAATACATATAGAATTTAACATCTTTACCACTTCGAGGTGTATGGGGCAGTGGCATTAAGTATATTCACACTGTTGTGCCACCATCACCACATCCAGCTCTAGAGTTTTTTTCATCATGCACAATTGAAACTCTGTCCCAATTAAACCCTAACTTTTCATTTCTCTCTCAGGCCCTGTAACCACCATCCTGCTCTCCATGAATGTTTTCAGTACCTCCTATGAATAGAATCACAGTATGTCTTTGTGTGATTGGCTTACGTCAACTTAGCCTAAGGTCTTCAAATTTCGTCCATGTTGTAGCACGTGTCACAATCTCCTGCCTTTTAAGGGCTGAATAACATTCTATTGTGTGTGTACACTACATGTACATCCCATTTGGCTAATCCATTCATCTATCATTGGACACTTATTATTATAAATTCGTGTCTATTTGTCTATAGCCCAGTGGGGCCCAGTAGATCTACTGTTGACCTCTACCCTCTGTAGCCTGTTTAATGGATTTCAGTTATGTATATTATTTAGAGGCACTCTGGCTCTAGCTAGGGGTTGGCAGACTTTGACCAGCAGACTCAATCTGTCCCATTGTATGTTTTTACATATAAAATTCCACTGGAACATAGCCACATGCATTCATTTATCTATTGTCTATGGCCACTTCATGCTACAACAGCAGAATTGAGTGTATGGGGCAAAAAACATATGGCAAAACCTAAAATATTTACTAGCTGGCCCTTAAGTAAAAGTCTGCTGTTTCCAAGGCAATAGTAACAAATTGATTCCGAAATGTGTAACAACCCAAACACCAGCTTACTTCTCTTCCACAGGACAGTCCAAAGCAGGCAGTTTTCTATGTTTAATTCATGGACACAGGATACTTCAACTTCACAGCTCTGCAATCCCCAAGGGCCTCCATGTCTTTGCCAGGAGCAGGTAGAAGGAGATGGAGAATCTGGGGGGAGGGGAGGATGCCCCCTAATGCTTTAGCCTCAGTCCAGGAACGAGACTCATTCCTCACTCATGATCCATCCGCAAGAACTAGGTGCCTGACAGTATCTCGTTCAAAGGATGGCACACTTGGTCCCTGGCTTTGTGCCTCCTCCCAGTGTCAACCCCCAAAGCTACAAACTTTAGTGGGCAGCCAGCTGTCTCAGCCATGCCAACACCCAGCAAGTGAAGAGTCAGAATGAGCAAAGACAAGAAACCAAGAAAGCAGGCCTATATGGCTTGATTTCCAGAGCTGGGCTTTTTCTACCTGGCGAGGGCCAGAGAAAATAGTATAGAAAGCCAGAATGAAGAGCAGGCCTTTGAAAGATTCAGATAAAACCAGGGATCATCAAGCAGGAGCTAAAAGGAGAGAAAGAAAGCTCTTCCTTGGGATATGGTTAGACCAGCTCATGGAGTTGTAACCTGGATCAAGAATTGAGTCTTGGGGACGCCTGGATGGCTTAGTTGAGTGTCTGACTTCTGCTCAGATCATGATCTCGTAGTTCATGAGTTCGAGCTCCACGTTGGACTCTCTGCTGGCATGCAGAGCCGGCTTTGGATCCTCTGTCTCCCTCTCTCTGCCCTTCACTCGCTCACATTCCCTCTCCCTCTCCCTCAAAACAGTATTAAAAAAAAAAAAAAAAGAAATGAGTGTTGTTGGTCTACTGACTCCCCAATACAGTCTAAAAGTTTATACAGATACGTAGGTTTCTTCTTGAGCTTCCGGAAGATTCAGGGATTCTCTAACTCCCCTCCAAAAAGTTACAAACAAAACGAAGTATGGTCTAAAATTCCTTCCACACCCTCGAAATTGCTGAGTGAGGGCATAAGCAATCCATCACGAGTTTGTTATTTGGAAAAACTGACCACATCTTAGGCCATTTTGGTTTTTGCATTTCTATTTTGTTAATTATAAAGACAGGTTTCCCCACCAAAACCCAGACATCAGTGGTAGAAAAAACAACAAAGGAAAAACCTCTAAGCCATCTCATAAAAACCTGAGAGCACCAGCTGGCTATGTGCGAGGGGTGGGATTGGGGGGCGAGGGGAGAGAATGGACAGATGAGGGACCATCGAGGGTAAGGCAGAGGTATCCGAGGCACTGACGTAGTCATCTCTCTGCCTGCTGACCTTCCCTGGGTGTTCACCAGGAGGGTCACAGCACGCGAACTTTCAATACAAGAGCTGATAAACTGTGGCACTCTTCTTGGAGCCCGTGACCAGATACTGGTTGTCAGAGGACACGTCACAACACAGGATATCTGTAGACTCCTCTGCCTACAAGGAAAGAGAAGCCAAGAGTGACTACAGGCAGGTCCCAGGCTTGGGCCAGAGATGAAGGCCTTGCTTAGGGCTGTGTCAAGGCTAAGGACAAATCTAGGGCTCGATCTGGAGACAACAGGGCAGGTCTCGTGGCTCAAGCTGGAGCCCATGAGTTCACTGGACCTTGGGTCCTCATTCCCCTTGATGTATTAATCGGCCCAGATACCACCCTAGAGGTACTTTCCAGCACTGTCCTCGGGACCTTAAGTAACTGGGATCTAAGGCTATGAGCTCGGAGTGCCTGGGTGTGCCCATCCCTCCTCCCAATACCTGAAACAACCTCTGTAGAGAAGGTGCAGTTAAGCAGTAGATGGATTCATCCCGCGTGGTCACGAAATAGCTCCCTGGGGAAAGAAAGGTAGATAGAGAGGCCAGACACCAAGCTTGCATTCCAGTCCCAGCTCTGTTCCCAAGGGAACTAGGGAAAGGGCAAATCTTTCTCTGTCTCAGTTTCCCCATCTATAAAAACCAGAGATAAGACCCAAATCATTCCTTCATCTGGTCCTACCCTCCTGCTACACGTGGGATCATGGTCAATATCACTGAACAAAAGGACTATCAGACGGGATCATGCCTCTTCTGCCTGCTTCTAACTTCCAGTTGCTGTTCTGTGTAGAAAGGCACCATTACAGAGAGAGCCAGAAAGGAGAGGGATGCAGACTGAAGACAGGCAGGGCGCCAGACCACAGCGGGAGAGGAAGCAGTGAGGAAGGGTAGGTGGGTGCAGAGGCGAGAGCGGTAGCAGGAGAGTGGACATCTGGGTCTTGGCTTGGCCGGGCTTGGGGCTGGAGGGGGAGGAACAGAGCCTGCAACAAGGCTGGGCCCAGACTCTGCAGATGGGCAGACACCCTCCGGTGTGACAGGATCCCTAGAGGTATCACCTGGCTTCGACTTACCACAGGAGGCAAACTTGAGGTTGTGGTGATCTATGTATTTGTCAGAGGCGATCTTAAACTTCTCCTTCCGGTGCATGTGTAGGATTATGATGTCACTGTTTCTCAAGCCTACTAACACCCACTCCTCACTGGGATCATGGGTAATGCTGAGGATCTATTTGAGAAAAAGACTGGAGTCAGGAGCGCCTGGGTGGCTCAGTCGATTAAGTGTCCAACTTCAGCTCAGGTCATGATCTACCAGTTCGTGGGTTCGGGCCCTGCATTGGGCTCTGTGCTGACAGCTCAGAGCCTGGAGCCTGCTTCAGATTCTGTGTCTCCCTCTCTCTCTGCCCTTCCCATGCTTCTGTTCATGTTCTCTCTCAAATATTTTTAAACAATTTTTAAATAAAAATGAAAGAAAGAAAAAAGGACTGGAGTCAGTGCTCCAAGCTGCCAACCTCGTCACTTGTGTCTCTTCTTGAAAGCCTGCCCCTGCTCCCGGCCACCGGGACTGCCCTGAGCCCAGATACCTCCTCTTGTAAGTGGTACTGCTGCAGCCTCTGGTAGCTCCTCAGGTCCCAGGAATACAGCCTGGCGTTTTCACCTCCTGTCCAGAACTTATTGCCTGCAATGTCCACGCATCGGGACCCATATTCAGGGACTTCGTGCTTCCTGGTGAGAAAACAACTCAGATTCACGTGCTGGTTAAACACTGGGAAGTTCCGGGCCCAGGAAGCCCCCAGGAGTGCCCCCCCCCATAGTCTCTGCACAGGCTCCCCTGGGCCTACTGCACAGAGCAGGGAAGCTCAGGCCAGAAAGGGACATAGGCTTTCCCAAACACCTTACTGTCAAGCCCTCCCCTAGGTCGTACCTAATCAAGATTTGGTTCCGTAAGTCCCAAATCTCCACAAATCCTTTGAAACAAGCCAAGCAGATCTGGGCGTTGGAGGAGAGAGCCAGGGAATAGCACCTAGGGCCTGTGGAGTCCAGCTGCGCCCTGACACGGGGCGTGGGTGCCAGATCCCAAAGAGTCAGGCTCCGGGACACACCTCCAGTGATCAGGCTCTGCTCTTCAGGCAGCAGCTTACAGGCAAGGACACAGCTCCGACGGTCCTGCAGGGACAGTTCCACCCTCACATCAGCGCCTTAAGGTGCAGGCTCCGAGTCTCATGACAGAGATCCTACCTGGGCTCCCCAGCCCTTCCCGTATACCCCTCACCTGGAAGTCCAGCTGGGCCTGTGGGGCCTTGTTGAAGGCATGCAGAGCGCTCTCTTCCCACACCTTAATGTAGCTATGGCCACACGTGTACACGTGGTGAGTTGAGCCACTGATGGCAATGGCATAGACATTCTTTCCATGGCAGACCTTGCCAACCTTCCAGAACTTCCGTGGGACCCTCTGCCTGACTGCCACTTCATCAGGAACGGGAGGCTGGGGACAGGAGGAGGCGGGTGGCTATCAAAGGGCATAGCCCTGGCCTACTGTCATCCACGGCCTGCCTGTCCTCTGACTAAATTCCTAACTGTTCACCCAACAGTTCTCTCTGACCCCGGGTGAAATCATGTCCTCATCTGGGGACCCCAGACTACGGACATCCTCCTTCACCAGCCACATGGTACCCAGGTTTCCCTCACTGACACATGGAGCCATGTTTTGAGACAATTCTGTACGCCAGCAATAAGAGCAGGGTCCAGTGCAGAGCCCCGCCGCAGACACAGCTCTAGAAGAGGGACACTGTGAGCTGAAGGCCCTACATCTTGGTGACGAGGGCAGGGCAGCCTAGCTCAGAAGAAGCAGGGAGCTCCAGGACCACCCCCCCCACACACACACACACCTATGGGAGAGAGAATGAGGACACACTGCACACTCTCACCTTCTTACTAGCTTCTTGTCTGGGGCCAGGCAGGGGAAGGCAAAAGTCCCAAGTTTGGAAAAATAACACACTTACAATTGTCCTGAGGAATGATGAGACTTCTTCGCTGGGAGCTGACGAGGGGCAAGGCTGGCCTGCAGGGAAATATCAAAACCCACCTGCTCACAGAGACGGGCAACGGACAGCAACAGAACCACAGGATTCAAGGAGAGGGCCGCTGTCCCGACCCCAAGCCTTGAGTCTTGTCCCCCACCTTAACCTGCCCACACATCCCAGGTGGGACTTACCGCACTTGGGTCCTGGCAGGAAGCTATGACACATAGAAAGCAGAGAGGGGACAGGGCATGAAATGCAGAGCTCTGTGCTGGGATCCCCTCTCTCACCACCAGTCTTGTTCAAGGGAGACCTACCTGGGGTCCACTTCTGCTGCGGCTTCTGGCTCCACCTCAGAGAGCCAGCTGGCCTGGAGATCAGATCTGTCTGGAGCCTGGAGGACCCACTGCTGCCGGGTCCCAGAGCTCATCTCCTGATAAACGGGGCCATGTTGCATCTGGGGACCTGGGGACTGCTGGGCCATCCCATACGCCCCCTCTGCTTGAGGCTGCGCTTGGTGCTCATGCTGGGAGGAAACGCCAGAGCTTTCTGCCACATTCCTCCTTTCCTCTGGTTCATCACAAATGTTGACTATACTAAACGAGTCCTTCTCCTCTCTACTCATGTTTTTAGATCAATTAAGTATCTGAGTCACCTGGTTTTGGGCTTCAGAAATGAGTCCAAACAGTTTCTGGGCTTACCAGTTCATTCTGATCACCTGTAGCAAGAGAGAACAGATGCAGAGACACAGATATGTACCGTTTAAGGCCTATTTAGGAGGCTCTAAGAACATGTCTCTTGGTGAGGGGATTCAAAAACTGGTGGCTTGCTAATGTTTAATCCTAAGTCTTGGCAGTGATGGTGTCACGAGTGAACGTTTCTCACAGACATTTTGAGATGTTAGTAGCAGGTGTTAAGTTTTTCCTTCTAGACAGACAGATGGCATTTCCAGTCCTTTGAAATCCCAGTCACCCTTTAATCTGGCAATATACCTTTCAGATGAGGACTCACCCCCAGTGTAAACATGGGGCAACGGGAAACTCCACTCACACCACAGGCTCTTTCCCTGACTTGAGGGGATCCCCAAAGAAGGCATGCAGACATGATGTTCCATTTGGATGGAGCTAGGTCACACAATGATGAGTTTGCTCGTGGGTATATTCAACTCTCCCACCCTATGTGGTCATTCTGAGTTCTGAATGGAATCCCATGTAGAATACTCAGAATTCTGTAAGGCCACTGGCAGACCTTCATTGAATGGCAGTGAGTGCATTTTTTTGTGGACTGTGCCAGGGACCAGAGCTTTGAGGATTTAAGACAGACTACCTGCTTTCCCCCAGACCGCCCAACGGGTGAGCCCCAAGACAGGCCTGGGGAGACCCAGCATCCCAGAACAGAACGAAGCAAAAGCTCAGCCACAAAATGAAAGGTGGGCTGGGGAGGAGGTCTTCCCCTGTGGGTACCATGCCTGGATGACCAAGCTCAGTCCTTGGTTCTCAGACTCCATCCTCCACAAATGCCCCATGGTCACCCCAGAGAGGCCAGCTGCCTGCCCTGAGGAAGGCGCAGTTGTATCCCCAGACTCCACTCCTCTGGACACTTTGAGCTCTCACTATGTGTTTGGCCTTGAACCAAACAGACTCCTCACAACTGTGTGAGCCACATTTCACAGATTTTAAAAACCGAAGCTCAACTCTGGTTAGTGAACCAGAAAGCACAGGGAAAAGGTTCAAATCCCACCCTGTCTGGCTCTAAACAGTCTCCTTTCCTGCCTCCCCACAAGGAGAAGGAAGACAAATATCCACTGTCATTACAAAAGTGGTTACCTGAGTGGCTCAGTGTGTTAAGCATCCAACTTCAGCTCAGGACATGATCTCATAATTCGTGAGTTCAAGCTCCACATCAGGCTCTGTGCTGACAGTTTAGAGCCTGGAGCCTACTGCAGATTCTCCCTCTCTCTGCCCCACCCCTGATCTGTCTCTCTCTCTCTCTCAAAAATAATTTTTTAAAAAAAGCATTAAAAAAACAAATGTGGTGGGGCGCCTGGGTGGCTTAGTCGGTTAAGCGTCCGACTTTCACTTAGGTCATGATCTCGCGGTTCGTGGGTTCGAGCCCCGCGTCGGGCTCTGTGCTGACTGCCAGCTCAGAGCCTGGAGCCTGCTTCAGATTCTGTGTCTCCCTCTCTCTCTGACCCTCCCCTGCTCGCGCTGTCTCTCTCTCTCCTAAAAATAAATAAAACATTAAAAAAAAATTAAAAAAAAAACAAAAAACAAATGTGGTTACCCTCTGACCTAACACTTCCACTGTTAAGGATTTAACCTGAAGGTCCCCTTTAAATATACAGAAAATGTGAGATATGGAGGTCCCTCAGGAAATTAACAATAGAACTCCCCTATGACCCAGCAATAGCACTGCTAGGAATTTACCCAAGGGATACAGGAGTGCTGATGCACAGGGGCACATGTACCCCAGTGTTCATAGCAGCACTCTCAACAATAGCTAAAACATGAAAAGACCCTGAGTGTCCATCAATGGACGAATGGATCAAGAAGATGTGGTTTATCTATACCATGGAATACTACATGGCAATGAGAAACAATGACATCTGGCCACATGTAGCAACATGGATGGACCTTGAGGGTGTTATGCTGAGAGAAATAAGTCAGGCAGAGAAGGACAAATATCATATGTTTGCACGTATAGGAAGATTAGGAGGAACTTAATGGAGGACCAGGGGGGAGAAGAAGGGGGGAAGCTGGCAGCGGGGAGGGAGAGAGGCAAACCATGAGAGACTCTTGAATGCTGAGAACAAACTGAAGACTGATGGATGTGGGGGGGAGGGGGGAGATGGGCATGGAGGAGGGCACTTGTGGGGATGAGCACTGGGTGTTATATGGAAACCAACTTGACAATAAACTATTTGTAAACTGAATAAATAAATAAATAAAAAGAAAAAGAAGAAGAGAAAAGAAAAGAAAAGAAAAAAATCCAAAAAATATACACAAAATGACACCTGTACAAGTGGAAGCACCACAGCACTGTTTGTGACAGCAGATGCCTGGACAATTCCATTGGTCACAGGAAGGGACTGGTGAAATATCACAGTATGTGCATACAATAGAGTAGTACACAACTGTTAAAAATAACAAAGACACATCTGCAAGGACCCGGGGAAAATGCCCAGGTGTGTTAACGAGGGGAGGGGTGGATCTAAGGTTCAGACCAATGTGTATAAAAGCAGCTTTGGTGAAAAAGAAGGATAGAAATTAGAACCTATCTTTGCATATGTTTGTATGCAAGAAGAAATTAGGGAGAGCAGTTGCCTTTGGGAATGCAAATTGACCCAGAGGAAAGAAGAATGGAAGAACGTGGGATAGTCTTTGTGGCTGTGTGGCTCTTGGAATCTAAGTTTAAAATAGACCTTGAATCTTTTTCTCCACCAAATTCTTCTTTCTCACCTTCCCCCAAATGATAATTTAGGGTCCTTGTGATGCTCAGTTACTTGTTATAAATGATTTAACCAATTCACTCTGACACCTTCAGCCTCCTTTCAATGGGCCACCAGGGCTGGCTCACCCTGCTGAGGGTAGAGGCCCAGAGCACACACATTCCCAGCCAGTGTGATGAGGACGGGCAAGCAGGGACTGGCAGCAAGCAGCCCTTGGGTAAAGCTTAAAGGCATGCAGCCATTTAGCCAGGTTTTCACCCTAAAAGTAAGACAAGGCTTTCTAGAAAGAGCAGAAGGAAGAGTCACTATCACTGAACCCAGCTCTGCTCTCTCCCCAGAGCTGGAAATGCAAAGACCCCACCCCATACCAGGCAACTCCTGCCCAAGCTTCCACACAAAATGCTAGTGCTGGGGCTCCATCCTGTCTGCAAGGCAAGCACTCACCAATCCCCCACGGCTGGAAGCTCACCCCCGAAGGCAGAAGTTCAAGCCCCAGAAAAGGGAAGGCAGCAGAACAGACATCTGACAAGTGCTGGAACTCTCCCTCCCACACCCACGCATGACCCCCTCCTTCCAGTCTGGCTATTTTTAAACCTCAGCTTAATTGATAATCAAGCCCTGGGTCAGAACCTGGGTCAGGTGTCCCGTCCCTGAATCGTTCTTCAATTCCCAATTGGGCGTGGCCACACACTGCTGTTTCCAACTAATCCTTGTGCCCTCGGAAGAGAGATAAGATGGAGGTCTGCCAAGTAAAGTCAAGGCAGGAGGCCAGATGGAGCAGGAAACTTTTCGGGGGGAAGCTTCTGGATTGGGTTTGGGATGCCCACCAGAGCCAGCATTTATGCAGAGGGAGAGAGATGGGCAGAGCTGTTCCCAAGAGCTAGTTCAGGTTCCTGCTGAATCCCTTTGGGACTGAAGGCTGGTTTGGGGCTGAGGCCAATAAGGGCTTTGATGGAAGGGGAAGGGAGCCACTAGAAAGGAAGACCAAGGAAGCCTTTCTTTTCAGGTGCCTCTCATCCCGCGGCTCTTAAATGTGACTCCGGGAGCACAGGGCCCACCCAGAGACTCAGATTCTGTAGGTGTGGGGTGGGGACGGACACTCCTTTCTAACAGGTTCCTGGGTGCCACATGTGAGAACCACTGCCAGCCCCTCGGTCTGGTGGTCCCCTCCTCCAGGAGAGAATGGTGGTGAGCCTGGATACCCTCCTTCTCTCCCCATGCACTCTCTGCCTCTTGCTCACCCTTCCCACTGAACACACTCTCTTCCACTCTGGTTCCTTTCTCATTCGCTGGCTTGCTTCTTTTGAAGCAGAAGCCCTGAAATTGCTGCTGCCTACAGAGAAATCTTTGACTACCCCTGACTCCTAATCTCCAAAGATCACTGTCTCTCACTTTTTCTTTCCCCCTCACTCATGCACCCCTTGTCCCCAAAACTTTTATGGCTGCCTGTGGTCTTCCAGATAATGCCTGGCATTATCCTTGGCCCAGTATTTGAGATCTGTTCCCATCCAGGCCATGCCTGTTTATCACTTTTTCCCTGACTGTACCCTAACCTGACCCCCAAGAACTTGACTGTACCTCTCCATCCTCATGCTTCTCTATGCTGTTCCTTCATCCAGGAATGCTGTTCCTTGTCCACTCATGCATCGAATTTATACTCCCATGTACTCTGACCATAGTGCCAGAGGCCAGAGATCAAGCTAAGATCTGGCCCAAGTCCTCAGGGAGCTCTGATTTGAGAGGGCAGGGCAGAGGGGGATTGACTTAATTCCCGAGCTGATGCATGATCCATTTTTGGCGAGTTATCCCTTTTCTGATTCTCACAGGAAACACAGCAGTGAGGCATGGATTTTATCCCTAGTTTGGAAATATGTGAGGTAATCTATGGGGTCAGAACCTCACAGAGACTTATCCAGGATCGCTGAACAGGGTGGAAGAGCAAGGATCCAAAGCTGTACTGAATCATAGTGTTGCGGAATCTGGTCTGGGTCACTGGTGGAAAAACCAAGCAGCACTCAGTGATCTTGGAAAAGAGGAGGTTTATTTTATACTGGTGGTCTCAGAGGAGATCATTCTCCAGAGGTCTGAGCCCAGAGCATCAGCAGAGGGAATAATTTATAGCCTGTTATTTCTGCATTCCTCATTAATGCGTGCAACAAGCAGGGTGGGAAGAATAACCCGCAAGGGGGAGCCTTTGATCAGGGACAGGTATTTCCTTATCAGTCCTGTCGGCCATCTTATAACAGATTTTTCT